CAAATTTTCTCAGTTTAGGCATCTTGGGTGTTTGGATAACATCGACCAAAAAGTACGTCACCGTGACCTACTTTTGACATTTGATGGCTATATTTAATTATCTCTGGAACTAATTGGCTTAGAATTGTCAAACTTTGTCAGATGATGCATCTTGGGTTTTCAGAGAATGTCGACCAAAAAGTAGGTCAATTGGAGACCTACTTTTGAATATATCAGGTACTTCTTTAATAAGAATCAACAGTCTTTGTCAATTAATGTATCTTGAGTCCTCAGAAAATTTCAATCAAAAGGTAGGTCACTGTGACCTACTTATGGTATTTTATAATTATATTATAATATCTTCAGTCTTAACTGGCTAAATATTATCATACTTTGTAAGTTGATGCATTTTGGGTCTTATGATACTAATAGAGTTGGAGGCTTCTAATAGAAGTGATAGATTGTACAATTTATCAGAAGAGCGATTCAAGGCCCTTGGGCCTGTTGTTTTTTTAAGTTTTATACTGAAGGAAAATGCTTTTGTAGGTTTTTAAAAAGCTGACTTCCTTTGGTATGGATGAATCACATGAAGATAAACTTCTTGTAAGTACAATTTATTTTTAATTTATATTGCCCTTCATAATATACCGGGTTTTGACAAGGTTCATATGCTAAATATCTCTATGTCTAGAGAGTGACACCCTCAGATTTTGACACAGAACTGCATTTGTTTTTAGGCCATGAAAGATTACATAATGAAATTACACAGATCTAGAGCAGGGTAAGCAAGACCTCAACATTTCAGTAAAATAAGCTAACAACATGCTCATGTTTATTTCTGTATTCTAAATTCATAGAAGCTTTCAATATTGGTTTAGATATACTATAATTCCTGATTTTCTGTTCAGGTCTGTGGAGACTCAACAAGAGTCTGGGTATTCCCATGGTAGATTCTGTATTGTGGGCCCAGGTAAAGCAATAACCAGGAGACATGCTGAATTACTGAAACAGAAAGATCCAAAACAACCGGGAGTGGATCTAAGTACTTCCAGGTATGTCTACTGTAAATACTACTGACTGTGCACAGAGTTTTCCTGTTGTAAGATTATACAGTTGTGCAAAATTCAATTGTTTCATTAAAAATGGGGATTGAAATTGAAGTCAAAATATTTGCATAAAATTAGATTAGTTTTTACTCTGGTACATGGATTAATTATGCAATGAAACCATTTAGGAAGAAATTTTGCTTCAAAAAAAAAAATGAATATGTTAATATTCAATGACGTAAGTGATTTCTCTGTTTTCCAGTCGTTCTTCTAAAAAGACAAATCCAAAGGACCAATCTGTAAACATGGTGAGTAGCTGTATACTGTACATTTGTTGTTACAGATTAAAATAATTTGAGTATAATCTTATACTGTATGCTTAAATTTTAATTGAAAAAAATATAATATAAAAGATTCTATTAATGGTAACTGAATATCATTTCATGATATTGTATGAATATTTCAGAACTCTGAGTGGAAAAGTATGTTTGGTTCCAATGAGTCAGATTCATCCTCAAATAGTTTGTCTCCAAAAGCCCGGACCCTCCAGAGAACTGCCGAGAGTCTGGAGAGGAAACTAAACACTTCACAGACCCTAAGTCAGACATCCTCATCATCTGGAAGCTTTGTTACAATGTCACAGAGTCAGGTGTCTTCCGAGGGGTCAGTTAGGTCCCTGACAGAGAAAAGCACCGACAAAAATCCCACCAGTAAGACCTTCCCTATATTAGAATCTCATTGCTTGAAAAAATTTTATGTGATATATTGATATACAAACAATTTTATATGTAGATCTGTATATCATATTGTATGTTTTTCTGCTAAAATTATATAGCTTTTCAAAACTTTAAATCCTAAAAAGTGCAGTGTTTTAAATTACAGCAAAATATCATCCCTGTAAGATAGCCTTGAGAAACATTGTCCATAAGAAGCGTGAGTTGTACTCGGCCGAGTCTAAAGACTTACTTGAGATAGCCTGGGAGAGGAGACCCCCACCCAGTAACTGGAAACCCAAGGGGCTACTGGTGGCCCACCTCCAGGAACACAGGGCTGCAGTCAACAGGTAGAAAGGGGGCACAGAAAGTACTGATTAATGACTTACATTGATATGGTGCATTATCAAGGGGAATAACTCTCTTAAGCACTAGATTTTGTCTTTTCAATGTAATACTATTCAGCCATCAATGACTTATTTGAAATTTAAGTGCCTTTGCCGGATAATTTGTTATTACATGTATATGCTGTACATAAATAAAGAAATTTACATCAAGTAATTCAAGTCCAAGGGTAGTGATTCCTTGAGCATTCATCAGTTGAATGTTATATATACTGGCAGGATTCAAGTTTCTCAAGACCATGCATTCTTTGCCACGGCCTCTAATGATGGAACAGTCAAATTATGGGAGTCTGAAAAATTGGAGGGAAACAGTGTTGCTAACCGCTCTAAACAGACCCTAAAGAATACTTCTGTACCTGGTGAGACAGCATTGTGTTATATTTTATGTCATTAATTTTTCTCTTAACCTTTTCTATAAATATCCAATTATTTCACTAAACTTTCTTTAACAAGTCCAGAAAAAAAAAATAATGAGGAAAGAGAAATATCCTGAATTTTTTGTAACTTCATTTATACTGGAATAGAGATAAATATAAGTGCTGAGTATTGCTTTGTTTTATTAGGAGAGAAAGTGAAAGGTTTAGTTTTCTGTGAAGCTCCTGGATCCGCTCTTTCACTGGCCACATTCACTGACATGGGGGCAATCAACATTTACAAGTCAGTAGTGCTACAATGTATCTCTATAATACTGTAGACAGACACAAAGTAATTGTTTCTTTTATTGATTTGCTTTGTTTTAACAGGATAGAGACAGGGAAGGCCACCTGGAACAAGGCTATTAATGTTGACAAGTCAGACTATGGAAACATTGTAGATCTCACATACTTTGATACAGGTACAGCAAAGTACAATTATATGTAGTGTATATCTAATAAGACATTTATTATCAGTTTATGTACAACAATATAAAGGAAAACAGAATTAAGATTAGGGGAATACATTGGAAATTTTTAAGTTGTCCTTTACTTTAAATATTAAATAAATATTTAATATTAGATGTATATGAGGCAATGAAAGAATAACTTGGTGTATGAGTGTTAGAGGTGTTTTGTTTTGTGACAGGTGCCCAGTCTGTTTTATCATATGCCACAGTCAATGGGTTCCTAGTGGGACATGATCTCCACTCTAACAAGGAAGTCTGGAAACTCAGAAACGACCCAAAGTCAGGTAACAAGCAAAAAAAATCGAATCATACACAAGCCAGAAAGCTGAAAAGATGTAACTTTTTTTAAAATTGAAGTTGTCAATGTAATCATTTTGATAATTTAGAAAGGAAATTTAAAGATAAAATCATTTGTCTGAAATGATAATGTTTGACACAATCACATGTTGGTATTCAATTTAGTCATTGTACCAGATTTTTGGAACATTGCAAAGTGGCTGCATTCTTTATAATGGTGTGTTTGTAGGTTTGATCACCTCCTTTGCTGTACACCACTCCCAGTGTTGGCTGGCTGTGGGGACCAGTAGTGGGACACATGTCTGTTGGGACATGAGGTTTCAGCTTCCTATCAACTCCATTGTTCATCCTACAGGTATGGATAAATATCGTTATCATTAAAAAAAAACTGCACTTCATTAGTGGCACTATGATTTATTGATAACCATTTTGCTACGGACAGGTGCCCGAGTAAGGAGGTTGATCATGCACCCCCAGGAGCAGTCCTGGCTGATCTCAGCCACCCAAGGAAATAATGAAGTGTCCATATGGGATGTAGAGACGGGGGCCAGACAAAAAGCCCTGTGGGCAAGTCCTACACCCACCCTTAGTCTTAATCAGGTCAGTGTCTATACTTTTTGAATTAATCACAAATTTTTTTTTAAAAACTTACATATCTAAAAAGTCTTATGGGCTGGATATATTGCTTAGTAAGAAAGTATCCTATTTATCTTATTTGTGTAACGTACCCAATTTCTTCGTCATGGTATTATGTTTCAATTTTCCTTTTATCAGATTTTTTTGGAAGAGCAGAGCCATGGACTTGAATTTGATGCACCTCTTCTCTATTATGTATATAACTTTGTTCTATAGGCTAGTCACCATTCTGTGTATGGGTTACACATCGCTGTGACAGACACCAATGTGTTTATGCTGACGGGAGGGTCAGACATGAGGGCCCGGTTCTGGGACATTTCCTACCCCGCCAACTCCTTCATCCTGGCTGGGGCCGCCAGTGATCCTGTACAACAGACAGGAGTCAACTACAGGTTTGTATTGGCTTCATTTTCTTCATAGCTATCAAATAGCATCCCTATCCCACACCCATTTTGTAAATTTTACATCTCTTATAAAGATTATGAAATAATAAATCTTAACTTGGCATGTGATTAAGAAACTTTCATCTTTTTCTAATCAAATTTTCAGAGCAAAACTTGTAGACGGGGTGGAGGTGATTCAGGAATTCTACACAAAGAAACAAGTAACCAGTGAAGATAACCCACGGCGGGGCCCCGAGGCCCCACCACAGGGGCACCGTGATATTATTAGTGACATTAACCTGTGTCAGACCTCTCAGTGTCTGGTTATCACTGGGTCAAGGGATGGAGTTGTCAAAGTGTGGAAGTGATTGTATAGTAAACAATTTTATGCTTGTCATGCCGAAATAGGCTCGTCAAGCTGGAATACCTTGTCTGTGATTCTCTAAACAGTATGTGAGTTTGAAAAGATGACTGTGGACCTGTTAATCAAAACTTTAAAGACAATGTTTATAAAAAATTGTCTTTTACTTGATATAATCTTAATTTATCATGGAAGAAAAACTACACATGTAGTTGGCCACATTGGCAAAATTGTGCAATACTTGATATACAGTCATAAAGAAAAGAAATACATGTAATAAAATTTTCATTGTTTCAATTTTTAGCTCACCTGAGCCGAAGGCTCAAGTGAGCTTTTCTGATCACATTTTGTCCGGCGTCCGTCTGTCCGTCTGTCTGTCTGTCTGTCCGTCTGTCTGTCTGTCTGTCTGTCTGTCTGTCTGTAAACTTTTCACATTTTCGACTTCTTCTCAAGAACCGCTGAGCCAATTTCAACCAAACTTGCCACAAAGTATCCTTGGGTAAAGGGGATTCAAATTTGTTCAAATGAAGGGCCACGCCCTCATTCAAGGGGAGATAATTGGGAATTAACGAAAATTTGGTGGCATGTTTTAAAAATCTTCTTCTCAAGAACCACTGTGCCAGGAAAGATGAAACTTATGGGGAAACATCTTCAGGTAGTGTAGATTCAAGTTTGTTCAAATCATGACCCCCATGGGTAGGGCGGGGCCAAAATGGCCGACCAAAGTTTTACATAGAAATATATAGGAAAATTCTTTAAAAAATCTTCTCCTCAAGAATAGCAAAGCCATAATTGATCATATTTATATGGAAGCATCCTCAGGTAGGGTAGATTCAAGTTTGTTCAAATCATGACCCCCAGGGGTAGGGCGGGGCCAAAATGGCCGACCAAAGTTTTACATAGAAATATATAGGAAAATTCTTTAAAAAATCTTCTCCTCAAGAATAGCAAAGCCATAATTGATCATATTTATATGGAAGCATCCTCAGGTAGGGTAGATTCAAGTTTGTTCAAATCATGACCCAAAGGGGTTGGGCGGGGCCAAAATGGCCGACCAAAGTTTTACATAGAAATATATAGGAAAATTCTTTAAAAATCTTCTTCTCAAGAATAGCAAAGCCATAATTGATCATATTTATATGGAAGCATCCTCAGGTAGGGTAAATTTAAATTTGTTTAAATCATGACCCCCAGGGGTAGGGTGGGGCAAAAATGGCCAACTCAAAGTTTTACATAGAAATATATAGGAAAATTCTTTAAAAATCTTCTTCTCAAGAATAGCAAAGCCATAATTGATCATATTTATATGGAAGCATCCTCAGGTAGTGTAGATTTAGATTTGTTCAAATCATGACCCCCAGGGGTAGGGTGGGGCAAAAATGGCCAACCCAAAGTTTTACATAGAAATATATAGGAAAATTCTTTAAACATCTTCTCTTCAAGAATAACAAAGCCATAGTTGATCATATTCATATGGAAGCATCCTCAGGTAGTGTAGATTCAAGTTTGTTCAAATCATGACCCCCAGGGGTAGGGTGGGCAAAAATGGCCAACTCAAAGTTTTACATAGAAATATATAGGAAAATTCTTTAAAAATCTTCTTCTCAAGAATAGCAAAGCCATAATTGATCATATTTATATGGAAGCATCCTCAGGTAGTGTAGATTTAGATTTGTTCAAATCATGACCCCCAGGGGTAGGGTGGGGCCAAAATGGCCGACCAAAGTTTTACATAGAAATATATAGGAAAATTCTTTAAAAATCTTCTCCTTAAGAACAACAAAGCCATAATTGATCATATTTATATGGAAGCATCCTCAGGTAGTGTAGATTTAGATTTGTTCAAATCATGACCCCCAGGGGTTGGGTGGGGCCAAAATTGCCGACCAAAGTTTTACATAGAAATGTATAGGAAAATTCTTTAAAAATCAGCAAAGCCATGATTGGTCATGGGACTACTTTTGGATTTAAGCTTTTCAAGTATAAACCAATTTTGCTTTTTCCTAGCCACAGTGCTCAGGTGAGCAATGTGGCCCATGGGCCTCTTGTTTATTAATTTTGATAATGCTTATGCATGTATGTGCATGCATATATGAAAAAAAAAGTGACATTCTTAAGCTTTTTTTGCCGATTTTTGAGGCAGTTTGATTCAAATCTTAGCACATTTTCAGATCTACTGGTTGAAGTGCAAAGTAGCTTATGCTTTGGTAAATTGTTCATCATCTCTCCATGCACCTATTAGTGAACAGTTTTTAAAAATGTGACCCTTGCAGTCTTACTAGTTTTCGGGATGCATAATTCTGATTATGAATTCTTAATAATTTCGTCTAAAATTTTATACATATAAAAAAATTCTGATATAGTGAATTTACAGATTTAGCTGATTGATATTTTGTCATTATGAGGTTATATGTTAAAAAAATATATACATATTTATACCCCCGCTCTGAAGGAGAGGGGGGTATACTGTTTTACTCTTGTGTGTCTGTCTGTCTGTCCGTCTGTCTGCGTGTCCGTGTTGCTGTGTGTCCGTCCGTAACAAATTTTCGTCGCAGTTTTCTTAGCAACTACTCATCGTAGATGCTTGAAATTTTAACACAATCTTCTCTGAGGCATGCCATATGGTGGGATACATTTTCGCTCAAATCTGATGTCAACTTCCTGTTTGTCTGTGCGTCTGTCTGTTTCATACATAACAAATTTTCATCACAGTTTTTCTCAGCAACTTCTCATTGTAGATGCTTGAAATTTTAAAACAATCTTCTCTAAGGTATGCCATATGTTGAGATACATTTTTGTTCAAATCTAACTTTTTAGTGCAAGATCCATTATGATGTCATTATCAATTTCAATTTTCTTTTTCCCATACTTTATCGCTCTAATAGAATTATGTAGAAAATATAGTATTTTCATGGAATTCAATTTGAAATTACATTAAAAGTAGTCCCGATACCTATATTAAATTTAACATTATTTTAAAGAGGCCATGAACATACAAGTTTCCGTTTTTTAAAAGATTGTAGGCAATCTGGATACATTTTCTTTGTCTGATATGGAAAAAACTCCCATATTCATGGCTGCTTTTCTTACCGGTAATTTTCATTGGAAATGACAATATGTGATATGATTTTTCATCTTGTTTACTTACAAATTATGCCCAAAACACCTTATTTGACCTAGCTAAAGTTATAAAGCATCATTAAAGGAATTCATTTCCTAAATTTGATATATTTGTAGACACCTTTCATTTACTAGATCTTGACCTTAAGAAGAACAATAAGGATTAAGAGACATGTATGTGTTATAATAATAATTTATTAAAGATTTATGTAAGGCATAACAAAAAGAAAGGTATATACAGCTAATATACCACATTCAGCACAAAGACACAACTCATCCAAACTTAATGTGGCAACAAAAAATTATTCAGTGATTCACTGAAGTCACGGCCAAACTCAGGAGAGCTTCTGGTTATAACTGCAGAGTTCAGTCATAAGCATCTTTAGTATAGATATCACATAGGTATCACAGATGTTTAATAAAACTGTATAAATAGGATATAAACTCTACAATTAAATAAAATCTATCTCCTTCACATTTGGCACAATAAAATAATAATGAAAACAGCTGTACGGCACTGGAATGTCATTTCTGTAATACTATTACATGTGTATTTAGGAATATAATGATCAGAGAAAAGTAAAAACAACTGATCATTCTACCAATTTATCATTCTACCAATTTATAAATGTAGGTACTTGTGAACCTTGAAAGTTTAAACCAAGTACAGCATTGACAGGTGTTCAGGGGACTATTATCAATTTAAATTAAAAAGTTTTGTTTGACTACATCTAGCCTTTGAGAAAAAGAAAGGATCACATCTTTAATAGGGTACAGAAATAAAAAATTAAAATAATTAGATTTGTAATATTTGAAATGTTTAAATGTTAAACTATTGTGATTTGAATAGATTTTATGAGTACCTGTATTTTAATACTAATGTTGGTACAATGCAATAAATATTAGTGAAAAAAATAGTTCTGTTCTATTAAAAAGATGATAAAACTAGCAGATGAGTTGATTTGATTCATATTCTACTACTAATATGAATATCCCTGCTCTTAGAAAATACATTCATTAAAAAATTTAAAGTGCTGCACTTAAGCTTGTGTGGGTACATTTCAAGTGATTAACGTTAAGACCTTTTAAGCCCTTAGGTACCCTGTGTCATAATATCACAGATACTTTGTACGTTGACTGTTGAGACAGACTAGGTTGTTTCCCTTGTTTAATTCTCCCAGCAGATGTCACCCCCAGCTGTACTTGGAATAGCGTAGTAGTCAATTCCCCCTGTCCGGTTTGTCCCTATCCCTGCTTCGTCGGACGGCAGACTTGACTTCATTTCTTCCCATGAATCCACTTCTAGAGCTGGTGAGAGTCAGTGTTGCTATTGTTTTAGGGCCAGGTTCTGATATTGTAACAGAGGGGACTGTCATTAGTTTGGCACTGTTTGAGCTTGCATGTGAATTTGCGGTAGATAACGCATTAGATCCTGTCACATTAAGAGATCTAGTAGTGGCTGTGTTGAGATACACTGCAGAGCCTTGAGTTTTCCCTAATGAGCTAGTGAGATTATAAGGATTTGAACTCAAGCCTCCAGAAATCGAAAGTTTACCACTGGTCTCTTTGGATGAGCGAAGAGATTGAGTGTTTGAATTATGGCGAGCACTTCTATTTCCATTGTTTGTAATAAGAGGGAAATTTGATACATTTTTAGTTGGTATGGGGTTTGTGCTGGTAGTGCTAGTCATTATAACGTACGGATGTGCTGGTTTCGGTGTGATTTCAGTCAGTCCTGGCTTTGAGGTGGTTGCTGAAGAGTTGGTGTCACCAGGACTGGATTTTGGGATGGAAGTCACAGAGGAGGTAGCAGGTACAGAAGTGGTGTTACCAGACAACCGGCCGACAAATGGTTTTGCTTTGCTGGTAGAAGTGGTTGTGGTGGTCTTGGTGGTAGAACTGACTAGAGAGTCAGCAACACTTGACTTCTCCTCAGCCATTGTTGACTTTTGTTTTTCAGGAGGAGAAAGGTTCAGTACCACACCTTCTGAGCTCTTTGCTACAGACTGCGCCTTTTCCTTCAAGTTACTATCCTCCTTTTTCAGTTTTTCATCCTCTTCTGTTTGTTTCTCATCACCATGGCTCGTTTTCAATGTTGCTGACTCATCCAGTTTATTGGAGGTCTGGCCTAAGAGATTTCCAGCCTCTGCCAGCAGGGTAGTGGAAGAAAATGAGACCATATCCGATAGCTTGGCATTGGGGTTAGAGACCCTGTGAACATCAGTCACAACTGGCTGCTTTTTAATAGTGGAGTCTTTTTCACTGTTTTTGTCAGTGGATGATTTTTCAGTTGTTAGTGTTGGTTTAGGAGCAGACACAACCGGTGGAGCAGACACAACCGGCGTACTGGTGGTGCTCAAACGGTGGAGAGATCGTGGTGCAGTAGGAACAGCAGTGTTTGGAATGGAAGCACGCTTTTCTTGTGGCGTGTTGTCTTTTGTGGGTGAAACACTGCGGCTAGGCCTGGAAGGCATATTGTATGGCCTAGAACCACAGTAAAGTATAGAAAAACCTCTTAATGAATTCAAAGGCAGTAGTTGCTGGTTTTTGCGTGTTTTTTCAAAGCATTCAATGGCCACAACTGTAAAACAAATGGAGATTTGATTAGTTTGATACAGATATTTCTCTGGACTCTAACAGACTGAATGAGATTCCTGATTAAGCTATAACTTACAGAGTGTCTCCTCCACCACCCCGGGAATCACCTCCTTCAGTGCCTCACAGTTACAGTGGAGAGCTGGGTTCACATTGATCTCTATCAGGTAAATCTGGAAAAAAGGAGGCATTTTAGTGTTTCCAGTATTTCTTCAGCTTACTTTATTACAATTTAAGAAAGTAAGTGTCCAGTGAGAAAAATATTTTATCTGGTGGCCACTGCACATTTCAGACAGCTTGATAACTGACATAATATTTGGCTGTGGTGATCTCCAGATACACTGCCTTTCTTGACCAGCATCTATTAACTTCCATCCAAAAGAATTTTTTAAAGTTTTTTTTTTCATTTTTTTTAAAACAAATTGTAGAATTTTTACTTAAATGCCAACTCATGGACTTGATTTAACTGAATTTATCTAAGCATTTGAGATTCATTAAATATTTACCCTAATGCTTACAGACTAATTTTCCAATACACTTGTTTTGTAGGGTATTCTTACTTTGAAGTCTGTATCCACCATAAAGTCCAGTCCAAAAAGGTCAAAGAATCCAACCCTGGACTGGAGTTTGTGTTTAACACTGTTAAAGCAGTGGATCATGATCTTCTGCATTTGTTTCTGAAGGGAAAACATTATGTAGACATAACTTCAACTGTGAGTACAAATTAATGACATGTATCTTTAATGTTTTCTATTATCTTCATGAACAGTGGTGTTCCATCACTAGGGTAACCAGAAGTCTCTGTCGAGACTGTAGCTCTACTAGTTTGTACTTATAACAAAGGATGAGAAAAGAAGCCATTGCCATCAGACCAAAACTGAAGGATGACTAGCGATTTAAAGGAATTTCAAAGAAAATTCAATTTGAGTAACCATGGCAACACCGTTCATCGAAATCAAAAACCGATGCACTATTTTATGTAGCTTAGTGTAG